CTCTTTCGTATTTGTTGCCTAGCCAAATCATCGCCTCCTCTCTCTCTCTCTCTCATAGTTCCACTTCTAGTCTCCGCTGTGCTACATGGCTTCAATTCCATCCGCGACAGCGGCTCAAGATAGTGTAGGTGGTAGGAAAAATGCCTTTCCAGTGCCTTTGGAACAGGCGAAAAAAGACTGCTAGGGAAATGGGACACTTAATATCTAAAACCCAGACAATTTTTTGTGGAAAATACGTAATTTGCATAAGAACTAAATTCGTAAATTTAGTTCACTACGAAGGAGAAAGGTTGAACGTATGCTCGGGATTTAGATATTCCACTTTTGATGCCACTCATGCCGAGTGGGAAAAAAATTGAACTTTAGGCAAGAGTAGGGAATTATTTCTGCCCAAGTAAAGACTCACTACAGAACATTTAGGCTGCTGCAATGACTCGCACGTTTACATGGATGCATCACGCAGACACGTATGGGCCTACCGGCACGGCACCCTTTTACATGCTCCCTGCACTCTCTCTTCACCCTACCTTGAACCTTCCTGGTACTCATATATCAGATGAACTGGCTTGACGCATGTCATGCCAGCGTGTCTGCTTTACGGATCTACCTTCATCCGCTGACAGCGCTGCAGCAGAAGCTCCTTGTCCCATATGCTGCATTACAGTCATTTAAGGGAGAGCCAATATCAAAATATAAAGCCGAGAGATGGTGATAGAGATGAAGGTAAAATCACTTCAAGGTGGATGCTGCATCACACTGAAATGGGAAGATATTTCGTTCCTAATAAAGATACGAAAGGACGTTTTGCGATTGGGTATTCACTACTCACTATTCGCTATTTGGAGATATCACTTGGGCTAAGATGCACAGGACAGCCTGCAGTGCGGTTTGATGTGAGGTATGATGGAACACTCGGTCAAATTCCATGATGTCAATTGGGAAGAGGACATCGCGATGAAAGCCTACCAACCACAGTCCCCATGCTATACATTAGCAGATCGCAATGAGCTTTAAGGAGCACCAATTCGTTGTTAGCTGCTTTTCGACACCCCTCATAAAGGGCGTCCTGACGCATCCACATATGCAACTGACTTTCTCTTGGCATTAGATGAGCAAAAAATACAAAGTAGACAATGTAGAAAATAAAGGCACACTAAAAGCAGAAGTATTTAGGATAGGGACTAGGTTTCTTACGTCAGCTGCGAAAGTCAGGCCTTAATTTGAAGATAATAGCGACTAAACGTCCTAATTTGAAAGGACTTGATATGCCTATGCAAAGGGTGTGGTCGCTATTTCAGCGAGTAAAACAGGTTTCAAAAGGTCCTCCACAACCAACAATTTTTTCCGATCAAAAACCACCGAAAATTATTTGATTGCCCCCGCCCCAATCTCCGGTTTAATGCCGAATTTGTAGCCTTTCATAAGCTACAGAGGCAGTAGAAAAATAAACTGCAACCGATATTTTCGCCTTTGCAACCGCTGAAACCCCCCAGCTCTAAATCCTACATGCATCCAGAGTTACCAAATCAAAATATATGTTGCTCAATGACAGCAAATTTTTGGCAGCCGATACGTCCTTGAACCACTCTCCTGCCTTGGAAGCATCTTTATGAAGCCGACCAGTGCAGGCGATGAACGATGGCGTTTGATGAGGCGAGAATGTTGCCGCGATGAGGAGATTCAGTGAGAAGCAGACTTCTGATAGATGAATATAATTTTTGCAAGGAATTGCTGTCACGCGGGAGGAAGATTTGACCTGAGACTGGTGGAGCGGCTTCCAACATCTCCAGTTCGTGTAGACGGAAACATCCACTCATCTTAAATTCCAACTCCATTTGCAGTCACATCAGCAGTCCAACTGCACAGATTTCTTTTATTCGAATACTTTTACCGGAAAAGGTGGGGTCTTGGAAAAAAAGCTTTCTGACTTTTTATGTAAAAATGTGTGAAGCGAAAAAAACCTCATTCGCGGATTACGCACGGCTTTTTCTCAAGTTAAGAATGAGTCAAACACGAGACTGGACATTGCGTGAAGGAGATGTACCGTCAAACATCCAGACAGTGCATTAGGAACATCCTGCCTCGTGAGTGATTTAATTGATGGCATTCATTGTTTGACAACTGCCCAACTTCCAAACCAGAAATTGAGATGAGAGGTGATTTTAGCTGTGTTTAAACCGCGACAAGGCCGATTCAATTTGCCAGCATTCTTATCTGTAGAAATATTCATGTTCCTTTGCTGTTTTGAATCTTTCAAAGCCAAGACAGGAGCGCAACTAATGAGATTTCTTTGTGGGTCAAATTTGGAAAACAATTTTCGTCAAGTAATTATCACATTCTCCAAGTAAAATAAAAGTAAAGTTACGTGTTTACCTGACGAACTTAGCGAAGTCTTCCCCTTATTTTCGTTCACAGAATGTCATGCCAATTCATCGCAAAAAAGGAATGCAACTTCGGGTTTTCAGATCCTAAGAACTCTCAGATCAGTACTTAGTCATAAAACGAGATTCCTAGTTACTTACAAAAAATATTTCTCTTCTTATAAAGAAGTGAAGAACAGTCTTACCGATATCGGAGGAGGAGGTGGAAGAGGCACTGTCATAAAGGTGGAGATTTTCACCCCCACAATCGAGCTTCACGGACTGCAGTGGGGTCCGCGTATGAACTGACCAGCAGACAATTTCACCATCTAGAAATCCACAAAGAGGGGAAAAATCAGAAAGCTAAAAATACAGTTAGGAAAGGAAGCAATATTTGTGTCCGTATTATAATAGGGGTTGGGTCTTTAAGCAAATCTAACAACAGCCAAGCCTTTTAAATGTGGATAATGGAGGGAGTTTTTGGGTCAAACCTAGACTATTAATTTGACAGATCTGTGACAGGAAGACAAGCCACCGTAGTGATACAACACGGAGTTGTAGGCTGTCATAACTCATAACAGCCGGACAGTGGCTAAAGTAGTAAATGAGAAAGGCTGACAATAGTGGTAGTGGGTGCATGACCATAGAACAGCGAGCAATGAATACAAAATTGTGTCGACACTTAGTCATTTAGAAAACCTCAAGGAGAGGAGAGAAGGGCCAAGTCCACCCACGGAAGGACATTCGAATGATCGTGCAGCTTTCAGTGACGACCCCATTTACAGTTGTAACAACACAATAGTGACTTCTGTGACAAGTCCACCCGCTGTGGCATTGTAAAATCATCATTCACGAACATTGGAAACATTGAAAAGTTTGGACACGGTGAGTACCGATGATAAATTAAGCCCATTTGTCTCCTTGAGTGATTTAGCCATGCTGGTAAATCTTCCAGGTCCAAATAGCAGTTAAAGATTGAATTTAGAGCAGAAGACGACCTCAAAACAGTAAATACAATTTGTGTTCCCCAAAAACCCATTCCCTTCATTTAAAAAACACGATCAATTAAAATTGTTGGTCGTTCAAAGAAAACTTTCTGGCTTCTCGCAATTCGGCCTAGATACCGGTGGCCACGGAGCTCAGCCAAAGGTCTCCCCCACCTCCCCCTTGAGCCCTTCCCTTGCGTAGATAACGGAGCTACTTCCGCATTCTGTTGTAACGCCATAGTTGCTTGTAACTCATTCAGAGAACGTGAACTTTTATGCACAAGTGGATAATTCCATCGCAGTAATGGTAAAGTTGCTCCATGTATTATACCCGACGCGCTTGGAGCAGTCTAATTCGGATATCGTCAATCAGTTAAGAAACTTTTTTGAAGAAAATTCGATAGGTTGACAAGCAATGACCCACAGAACATTGGAGCAAAAATGACAATATTTTGATAAAGCAAACAAATGAAATCGTGCGGATTTTTCGATGACAAACATAAACATTTTATTCGTTCCAATAATCCCCATTAGCCAATCACGATGACCAAAATGTCTCCAAGAACCAAACTATTCCTATGACTTTTACTCTTCCCAGCCATCTCTTCCATTTCATGTATGGTCATGTCACGTTCCAGCGTAGCCAAGAAGGGATGCTAATCGCCAACTGGAGAACTATCATCCGTTGAACAAGGAGGATGGGGCGTTACCATCCTCTCGTCCTAAGGGACTGTAGGAAATCTTCTCATGAGCACGAGCTGCGACGATACGACGTCCTGTGTTGCCTTGTAAGGATGAGAGTGGGATTTTCTTGCCACGACTTCGCTAGTCCTCCAAGTTGTGTCAAGTTATTCAAAACAAGGAAAGTATGCGAGTTCAACTTCTCCGAATGAGCGCACGATAAAAATATGCTTTCAATTGCGGTTAATAAAGAGGTGGTTTCACTGGAATTTGATGCATATCAGGTTTTAAATAAACCCCAGCAAAATCCTTCATTTAAGGTAAACGGAAGAACATGAGTTATTTGTATTTTATAAGAAATATCGGAAGGATAGAGGGCTGCAAGCAAACTAGTCATCCCGTAATTAATTACCAAAAGCATGTCCACAAGGTCTGACCAACCAACCGAAGCGGACAGATGCATTTGCTCTTTACTGGTCAAACAAAGCCGGATAAGGAGACCTGCAGTGGAGCAACTGGTCATTCTTTCATTCATATCTTCATTCATCCCCCAGCTATTTGTTCAACCATCTCGGGTCCGTCTAAACTATTAAGCATCTGCCAACACATTCATCTGTCCCGCTATCCTACTTATCCATCTCTCTGTCTCACCATCCATTCATTCAAACGTGCATCCCTTTAACCACCAACTTAATCACCAGCCAATCAACCACGGATGCGACTCAGCAGCCATTGGTCCACTTTATTTGGTGGAATAAATTGATAATTCAGGGATTTGACCTCATATTAACACTATGCGAGAATACGAGATGTTTATCATTAACCAATTCTAAAATAGAATCGTACTCTTCAAACGTGTTCCAGGAATCATCTTTCCTTTTGTTGGCCTTAAACTACGCAGGAGGTAGTAGCTTGCAAGTGAGCCATTTAGATCAATCCGAATTGACAACATCCAATTGACTGCTCGCTAAAACAACTCTACGAGCAAATTGTCTGTCGGTGCCAAAGATGAACCGAGGAATTTCATCACCACCTGACTGCTGTATCTTTAATGCATAAGGCAAACACAGACGAGATAATTGGTGAACTGATGTAGTAATTAAAATTAAAGATTATTACCATGGCACAAGTAGAAAGAAAAATATAAAAGAGCAAGATGAGGTAAAACCGATGATAAGTAAAGAAGTTGATAGTGGGATGAATTAATAAATAAGAGATGGATATAAAATGGATGGGTGAAGGTGAGATGAATTAAAAAAAAGGTAAATAAGTCAACATTTGAAAATCCTGGATAGATGGATGCAAAGTGTGCGTCTACGAGTTATCTTTAAGGAATCCTTACCAGGATACATGTATGTCCAAGCCCTATCCAAGGCTGAACCTTCTTTACCATCCCAATTTGAAGTGATGCAGGTCACAGCTGGTGACTGGTCACAGAGGCGTCCGCAGTTGTGTGGCTTTTGCGACGTCTTCATTGCCACCGCCAACGATGCGGCACCAGTTGGGGCCGCTATTGTTGCCTTCCATGTTGCAGTCTGCTGCCACGTGTCCAATTCATCCACATGCTGAAGCTCCGTAATAGTGGAAGAGGTCCCGCCCAGCCAGAGAAGTCTAAGAGTGAGAATAAAATGATGCACTGAAGTTAAAACCGACGTTTGCACATTAATCGGGGGAAAAATCGCATTCGAGTATGAAACATTTGATCCCAAGAAGTAATGGTCCGTTTTAGAAGCTATTTATACCAGTTTCCTTTGGATTTCTGTTTACTATGAAGGTCGAAGGTAAAATTATCAACAAATGTCTTTGCAAAGGAAGAGAGTAGGAGGGAAGAGGGATGAGTGCAGGACAGATGGATGGAAGTACCCCAGGTGGATGAATTATGGAGGTAGGTGGGTGCATGGATTGGATGACATCTAAGGTAGGAAAACTACGAGGACAGAGAGAAGTATTAATTTATTAACCAAAAGAATGCATCGCGAGGTGGAACATCAGGAAGAACAAAAACTGAAGAGATGAGTTAAAGGTTAGATTAATAGGTGAGGTGAGAGAAGAGAGAGGGAAGGGAAAGATGAAATGGATGAATGGCCAAATGAAGGAACAACTTGATGGACAGATTGCTGGTTAGATGGGTTGAATAGGAAGGCAGTTGAAGGGCCATCGAAAAAGGAATAGACCAAGTGACCAATCCGAAGCGAATAGATGGAGTGTGGGTGGAGAGCGGTAAATGAATGAATGGAGTAAGGAATTAGTGAATAAAATTGGAGGCAGATGATCAGTAACCTAATCTACACAACTACCCAGGTTGTTTGGAGTGAATAGCTAGGTGTGTCAGGACTGAATGGCGAAGGAAAGAGGGATGAATGGATGGTCACGTGAATGAATTTGAAAAAAAACAAATCAGGAAAAGATCAACGGACGAATAGAAGTGTTCACTATCAATAGATAGACAGACCGCGCATTGGACATTGAAAGGAGTGGATGGATTCGTGCCACAAGCAAAAATGAGCCTTTGTAAGTGCACATCAATGGATCTGAGATGGAGCTAGGTTGTTAAGCGAATGCAAAAAAAGACAAACGGAAGAAGGGGATTAGCAAACAACCGTAAAAGACGAGCCATTAAAATTCGTGCAAAAAAAGCCAAAAAAATCCTCACCCTTTCGAGACGCGAACGCCACATAAGTAGAGGTTTGAGCTGGAAAGCTGTTTCACGCGTCTACTCTGTCGTAGACTGTTGAACGACCACGTGATGACAATACCAACGGCAGTGGCAGCAGAGTCAGCAGAGCCCACATCATTAAGGCAAGCAGAGCAGATCCACCCCGTCGAAAGGCCCAACACCACCGAGCGGTAGTCTACACTGAGCATCCAGATGCAGTCGCCTTCCATGGGAGATAGTGAAGCTTTGGTCAAAGATGTACAGGCCAACAGAGACAGCGAGGAGATGCTTCGAGAGGAAACAGGTACAAATGCTCACTCAGAGGAGTTCACTGAATGATCTTCTAAGTCTTGTTGCACATCGTAAGTAATAACGAGCACCTATTCAGTAAACGTTATTCCAAGGATAAGCATTTGATAGTACTGAATAAAACTGTGAATTTGAACGGACGAAGAGGCGTCGGAGGAGAAACTTGTACTGGCAAATAGGATTTCATCGGCCAATCAAAGTTCGCAAATTCAGAGCAACAGATTGGTGGATCATAAATAAATGAATGCCGACATTAGGAATAGATGGAGAAGACGAAGAAGGCAGCTGGTTATAGGTAGATGTATTTGGGAGAATAAGGAAAAGAAATGACTGGGTGGTATAGCTTGAAATGGATAGACAGGCCCATAATGATTTTGGAAAAGATCAAGGACAGATAGGTGGGTTCAAGGTGGCATAGATGGGTTAATTGATCCGAAATGGAGGCTTACGGAGTAGGGATAGTCGAACGTGCTAGGAGAGGAGAAAATGGCCAGAAACTATTGAGTAGGTAGATGAATTTATGAATGGATGATGAGATAGGTGGATTTTTTAAAGAGAGGTACGAGTAACTAATCGGAGAGATGGAGCTGACGAAATTAATGCGTAGCCATTCCTTAATCTACGGATCGATTACGAGTCTTGGTTAAGAAATGAGTAGATGGAGATGCGGATGGATAGATCTGTGATTGACGAATGAAGAAAGACGAAGGTGATAAATCTCGAGTTAGTGTATAAATGAAAGGGTAGAAATGGATGGAAGCAGTCCGGTTGAATAAATAAATCCGATTTGGATGGATAGATAGATGAGTGAACAGACGGGAGTTGTATGGATTAGATGAATTTCAAAGATAAGCGACTTGTACAACAAATTCTGAGCCGATTGTCTGATGGATGAATTGGCAAACTGGGGAGCGATGCATGAAGCCAGGCTGTAAAGACGGATAAATGGATAGAACCGAAGTAGACAGATGAGTGGATGACTGAATATATGGATCTGGAATGGACGGATGGACACAAGGATAAAAGGATACATAGAAGGTAGATATATGTGTGACACACTAATGAATCAATGAAGTAGGACTAAATTCGGTGCGTACAGATGGGAGAAAGTATAACTTTGCTGATCCAGTATCGTCACCTATCTCTCTGTGAGTCGCTTACCTGAAAGCCATCAGCCTTCCCACTGAATCCGCACACCATAAATGTCCGTCGGCATCCACTGACAGTGCCACCGGATGTCCCCCATCGTATAGATTAAGCGGAAGTGAGGAAGGTGATGGTACATGGTGGTGCCGTTGGCCTTGGTTTCCGTCCCGTCGAGACGTCCAAGAACAGGCAAGACCACAAGAGGTGGAATTCAGCGTCTCCACTACCGCCACCAATCGTCCTATACGATTGGGAGCTGTGGACTCGAAAAAGGCATCTCCTGACCTCTCAGGATCAGGTTCTGACTGGACACTGTAACCACCGATCCAGACGCGACCTTGTAAATCTGAAATCAAAGACAAAAAGCGACTTCAAAGTTATATAAATGCGTAAATACGTTGTAGCTGGAAGCTATCCGATCTAATTGCACATTCAACTGCGTGATTAAAATTCAAAACAAGTTGGACAACTTCAAATGCCTCTGGAGGCTTACCAATTATTGCACAGGTGACCACTTCAACCGCATCCACGCGTTGGACATTATGGATCGCCTCGAACCCCGTCTCCACCGCCATCGGTAGGCGTGCCTGTCGCAAGCACTGGAGACCGGACACCTCCGACAGCGGAGGAGGCGTAGGTGGAGGAAGTGGGCGCTGTGTGACCTTAACAATCGAGGAGGCCTCAGGTCGCAGTTGGGGCTCGTGGGACCAGCAGAGGCTCATTAAGTCCAGGTAGGCCGCTGGGCAGTGAGATTTGATCTAGGCGGATACGGAGAGAAAAAAAGAGGAGGGAAATAAAACGCACTTAACGAGGTCAGTGGGTTTGTCTGCTAGCTTACCACTGCTTCTCTTTCTACTCCTCCATCCGTCTACTTGCCCACTACTCTATCCATTCGTTAAACCCCCCGTTTCTTTGTCTGGCGCTCTATTTTTCTGCTTGTTTTTTGCAATGTGGCTCTCGATGACTCAAAGCCACCCAGAGTGTAAAGCACTGGACGAATATCAACATTAAAACTGAAACCGAATGAAAACTTGGTTCTGGTTGAAGCATTGCCGATGCTAATTAACAGGGGTTGGAAATGACCAAATGATCGTCCGTAAATTTTGCGGTAATTGTTGCTATTTCAATGTCATTTGAGTACAGTGGTGTGAAGAGAAATTATCTACTCCTATCGATAGGCCATGGTTACAATAATGAATAAAACTACGAAAAGCGTCGCAGCAGTGTCACTTAAAAGCAATTGTAACAACATCAGCTACGTATGAAATGTCCGGTTTAATTGTAAAAGGCTGCCACAATAATTGACGACAAAGCAGTGTAGACCACGACGGAAAACATCAACAGGCAGATTGCTGCACAGCATGAAACACGGTAAGTTTTCCGACGTTTCGGGTGGTAAGTTCCTTTCTACCAGGTGATTTTAACTTCAGAAATAATCCAGGTGAGAGTTTGGAGTTGAGGTCAAGGCAAGAGGAAAGTAATTATACATTCAACTTGGGATATGCACCAATGCACAGATGGCAAACTGATAGTACGTGGGCTTCTATATGCAACAAAACGGGTAATAAAATAACTTGTTTAAAGGAGTAATGGGAGCAGTGGACTAACCTTAGCCGGAATATCGGGTCTGCCACCGGAGAGGATGTGTTGATTCAGCTGAAATCGCAAGTTTGTGAAACCGCGATAGGGCAATTGAAATTTAGCAATGCTAGCCATCAGAATGCCCAATGCGTATATGTCCACCTGCGAAAATGAAAGTTCAGAAAAGTGATGGATACAAGAAGGATAGACAGAGGGTGAAGAGATGGGAAAGGTGGATGGATCCGGGACAGATGGTTAGAGTTGGGACAGATAGGTAGGCGAATTGACAGATGAAGTTGGGGCGAATGGGAACATCAAAATGTCTGTCCATCAGTGATGAAAGTTACCAGAGGAACGCTAAAAACGCGTAAAATAAACATGTATTTAAGATCAATCAGAAGAGGCTCACCTTGTGTGAGTAAGTCTCCTCTCCAAGAGTAGCCAAAACTTCAGGTGCCATGAATCCGGGAGTGCCAACATAGCCGCGACAGCCGTCTAGACTCGCTCTCCACCTGCTCACCCCGAAATCGCCTAACACAACTTGCACCGTTCCGGGACCGCCCCCTCTACTGCCTTCGAAATTAGAGGCGGGAGTGGAAGTGGTCAGAGTGCATCCCCATCGCTCCCTGCGCGTCCCTGTGGTGTTGGTTGTGGAGGTGGTAAGAGGAGGAGGCATGTGCCAGACGAGGAGATTGTCGGGCTTTAAATCTCGATAGACGATACGCACACGGTGGAGATAGGCTAGCGCAGTGGCGACCTAATTAAGTTGATGATCAGTCGTAAGATAACGTTGGCATCCACCCACCCAACCATCCAATCAACCCTACCTGATGCACCACCATCGTAAGGGTGTTCTGGTGAACTGGGTAGATGCCATCCGCTTCATAGATCTTCTTCATCTCCTCCATCCAATCAGAGAGACTGCCCTGGGGTGCTAGGGGTAGAAGGAGAGAGAGGGGGCGAGGCGAGACCACGCCGATGCAAGAAAGCAAGTGGTGACCCACCATCGCGGATGTGATGCTGTTGGCAGCAGAGAAGAGCCGCGGACGCGCGTGACTGCGCGCACTGCGACGGACGACGCCGCGTCGGAGAGAGCGAAAACTACTTTGTGAGCGAAATGGGAGTTCGTGGGCGGCGCTGAAACCGCCGCCGATGGTGATACCGGGAGCAGAAGTACTGTCTTCACAGACTCGCATGAGAACGGCGAGTTCAGAGCGTAGTTCCTTAAAAACCAGTGATAGAAGAGTGAAAAAAGTATAGTAAATACAGAGCAAGGAGAACTATTTGTACAACAATTTTCCGTTCTTGACTCCTATATGTCTGTCAGTTTATCAGTCTGTATCTAAAATGATTTTTAACCAGGCTGTCAAAACAAATAGATGAATGGATAGCGGAATGAATGTAAGGAAGAGCAGGTAGATGTGTGTGTGGTAAATGGGTAAATCTGGAATGAAGAGACGAAGAGTAAATGAACAAATAGATATTTAGCTAGAAGAATGAGTCCGCTATGGAGAAATGAATGAAGGCATAGATTAATACGCATATATCTGCTTATAATTCTATGGCTGGGTAATACTAATCAAATCTTCTAGGTATTCCCAAAACCATCACCCACTTGATACGCAGTGTAGCACGATTCAACCGGTTGCAACGACCATCGCCGCCTCTCTTGTTTGTATAGCGCTAACGCCACTCTAAGGTCAGCCAGATCCATGCGGTTGGGGTGAGAGTGCTGGTGAGTATTCGAACTTGTGGGCTTTGCTTCCGTTCCCGCCTCACCTCCGCCCTCCTCCGTTGTTCCCGCTCCTTGTTCCTCCTTCTCCTCAGTATAGGGCTGCCAATCACTCAGACGAATGTCTACCTGTTCCGGATTGATAGGTGAACAAATCTTCACTCCCACAGGGACCTAACAGAGGGGAAAAAATGGATTTCTCTTAAATGAAGAATTGGTAGTAAGGCTTGTTAACTGCAATGATCTAGCTGATGAAGAGAAAAAAATAAACTTCCCGACAGTCAGCAAATTATCACATCAATCGCCACAGATCCACCTGTGCATCTTTGTATTCCCTATAAGTCCAGGCGCTCACTCATCACAAATCTGTTGATTCATACTTGCATCCAGATTAGACAAACCTACTCCATCACTCATCTCCCAAATTCACTTATTACCACAAATTGGTTAATGGTTGATTCAGAAATCACCCATCCTCCTTCCATTCACCTTAAATTTCCCTAGTCGTCATTTATTTAACCTTGAGCCGTTCACACGGATCTAATTAATCATTTTGCTTCTCAACGCTACTGGATCAGTCAACTCTCCCTTAATCCAACTTTTTCCCAACTGTTCAAAATTTACCTAACTCCAATTTCCTTTTTCCCACATCCATCTTGGAGGCCTTCCTTTCTCCTTTAATCCACTCAATATCAACTCCAAAATGCATCCATTCGGAATCGGTTCATTAACTCATATTACCACCCATCTCTAAACACTTCATATTGTACTCAACTATTTACTTATTCTTTCACCCATTGCAGATTCAACCATTCATTGCTCCATTTATCTCTAGCACACTACAGATACGAGAACCCAGAACTAATTAACTGGCCCTTCTTTCTTCTATCTCGGATAGAGATACTCTTGAATTTGTCCATTTCAGATCCATCTATTCAAAATCTGTCCATTCGCAATATGGGGGAACTAGAGGACGGCTCTCTTTAACTAAGTTTTCAACACGCCGATCAAATCTACAGCACAACTCACAACTCCCAATTCCTGCTATTCAAATACTCCATAAGTAGGTACCCACCTTCACCAGATTAAGCATCGAATCGGTGGCGGAAGTGACGCTGGCGGGGGAAGAAGAGCCAGAGAGGAAGGCGGAGCCAGCAAACACAGAACCAAAAGTGCCACGGCCCAAAAATCGTTCCAACATCACCCGGCTGCTCGATACTCGCATATCCTCTCTTACATCCATTAAAAGAAGATCGGGTGCTGAAATGCCGTAGTGAGTAGGGCTTTTACTGGGGTCAGAATGGACAGGACAGGGAAGCGATTCATTGCGACCAAGGGCACCGACATTGGGCTGTTTTCGTGCAGGTGTCAGGAGCCAATGAACCATTTCCTCTACTAGAACGCCGTACACCACGCGTTGTCTTGAGGCAAAAGATTACCATTACATGGTTTGGTTTTGGATTGAAAAACACCTGAACACCCCAAAGCACAATCCAGGTAAGGTTGAAAAACTCCTCATAAGTATTGATTAATTCAAAGAAACTGTCCACTTGAAAATGACAATGTAGATAACTTTGGACACAAGATTAGGCAATTTTTTCCCAAAAATACATTTGAAATGATCTTACTTTTTCTCGCGGCATTCTAGCGACTCATCACTGGTATCATTTCTGTTCCCAGTTTCGGCATTTAGAACGCTATCGAGAGTAGACACAACCTCTCTTATTTCAGCATTTTCTCTACAGGATAAAAATAACAGAAATCGCCAAAATGACTTTTAATGAAAATAATGTGGCTACTAGCAAAGTTTCAGCACAATGTAATCTTTCCTCAAAATATGACCTACATTTGTGGTGGTCGAACGCAGTCAGTGCAGGGAATAACGCGATGCACGAGATACTCGCCGCTACTTGATTGGTTAAATCGCGTCCCAAGGTCAGGATACCAGTCCAATAAGAGGCAGTCAATGTGATGCACGATCTTCAGAAAAATTTACGTAGTAATTAATAAAAACCATGGTAAAGAATTGCCTTAAATTCTAAATTTAACCTGACATTATATCTGAGCTGCAGAATGCTAACCTTCGTCAAAATTTGAGTTAGTGTACGACGATCAGGCTCAAGAGTCCAGGACTTCGCGGAATTCTTCTCCTTTGTCGTACCACGATACTCAGGCCAGAAAATCGAGAATGAAGGCATGTGCAGCTGGATCAGACAGTATTTGGAAAAGTCATCTAGAACACGACAAAAAAATCGGCAAAAATACCGTCAACTTGACCCAACCGACACATACCAAATGGCTCAACAATTAGTTTGTCGACCTTCACGTCCACTGCAGATACTTCAATACCACGCAAGTGCTCCCTATATTGCTCAGAAGAGCCGGTGGAAAAGCGCAAGAGACGGAGATTCCAGCCTTTATAGTCAATCTCATCTAGCCCTCCCAGTGCACTCTTTTCATCACCCGTCATATTCCCTCCTTCATCCTCATTTAGGCAAGCGTCCTTCAAACCGATCTTTTCGTTCGCCTCCACTGCGATTTCTGTCTCCTCAAGGGACTATTTTGATGAAAAAGAATAGATAGATGGGCATGCAATTTGGGGATAAATAGACAAATTTAGACTAACTTCTCACAAGACAAATTCAAGCATTTAACAAACAAGCCTGCAGCTGATTGAGTGATTGATTGCCTAATTACATGATATGCATACAGAAATTAACAAACAAGGATGCATAAAAATAGGTGGAAGATATTTCACCGCCATGACTCACAGCAGTCACAAGGGAGACACGATTCCCAACCTGTTCCAGTGTGAATACCGGCACAGCACCACCAGCGAGGGTCAGCTGAATACCCCGTCGAGAAAGACTCCATCCGCACTGAAGACTTCCAATTGACGAACCACCTTCGTCAGCATTTGGTGGTATCTCCAGACAGAGAAGACTGGATCTCAGTTTCGGCGGTATGCTAGCCAGGTTGTAGAGATGCCTATGAGTAGAAGAAAAATCGTCTTCTAAATATAGAGATTTACCATTAAACCAGATGATTTCGCGGTCGTACTACACACAGAAGTCAGTCGACCACTTCAGACACCACCTTTTATCGAGATACCAGCTAACAATGACACTAAGTACATGAAACAACCTGTAATGATGAGCAATGCATTCTGTCAAAGAAGGTGTCAAACTCTCCGACATCTACACAAAGCTTCAGGTACTTCTATGGTACTGCCACCTGAAATGCTCAATTGCTCAGCAGTAAGACACTTGAATGAATGTTATGGACCCTACAAAGGCGACCATCCAATCACCTGTAGGTCAGTGATTATACAATCCACCGTTACCACTATAATAATCGCTCCTGCGTAGAATGTCGGCCCTTAAATAAACGATGCCTAGACTGTTCTGCAACTACGAAAGAGAGGACGATTTCTGGAAGAATGATCTCACTACAACAATCATTTACGATTCCGAAAAGTTGGGGCACCCGGGATGCCGCACTGATAAATCCTTCTATGCTGAAGCTGTTTATTAAGTATCAGCGAAGCGCTAGGATAGGTG